TCTAAGGTGATACTTGCGACCAGGTTTTATGTCTTTATTTCTTTTCCATCTTCTTTGGTACTTTCTGCTTAACTGCATGTAATTAATGTCTCCTCTCGCACTGAAAACCTCTTCCAAGAAAAGGTGTTCTCTCAATCCCCGTACTGTGTTAAAAAACAAACAAACAAAAAAGCAAAACAAAACTGTAGCTAATGTTTAGTGAGGGCTGACTTGCAGCCTACTTCTAAGTGCAGTTTAATACGGCATCTTTTGACGTGTGTCTGTTGTACTGTTACACAAATGAGGAAACGGAGGCACGAAGGAATTGGGACAGCACAGTGCCCAGCGTGTATCAGACCACGGGGTAAGTGCTCCAGCTCTGACGGAGGGAGCGTCAGTGGGGAAGGGAAGAGTCAAACTGTTGAGAGGCGATTGCATTGGCAGCCTTGGGGGCGGGGGGTTGAATTGATTAAGCATAGGATGGGCACACAGATCTTGCACGTGAAGCCATTTTAGGTTCTTTAAAGTCAGCAAGGAAACTGGGGTAGGAAGGCTCATTCTTATAATCCTTGCACCTGAAGAATGTACTGAGTTGGAGGATAGCTCTTATATGCCAGCCTGTAGCCCCGGGTTACATCGGGCAACCCTGCCTCCCTCCATCCCCCCACCCCCCCCCAAAAAAAAGCAGCAGTGACAAGCAGTTCAAGATTTAAAAAAAAAAATAGCGATATGGAGTCAATTTAGCAATTAGAGGATCCCTGGGGAACAGAATACTTGAAGGCGTTTTGGGAGAAATGAAGAGATGATAGTGGTCAGTACTCCAGTAGTATTTTGAGGATAGAGAGAGACCAATTTGAAGCCTTAGGAAGCAGACTCAAAAGAATCTAGTGGGGAAGGGAGTGTTGTTAAGAAAGACTTAAGTAATACTCCTATAGAAATACTTTGAAGAATGAGCAGAGTCAGGGGAAGAGAAGACAACAGTTTAATTTTGGGAATAATGAATTTAAATGCCTGTGCAGCATACAAGTGCTATTGTTAGTAAACGTCAGGCCTGGAGTTTATAGAAGCTAGTTTGAGCTGTAGTGTGGGGTTGTTTGCTATTTAAAACAGCTGGATCGACGGCTCCATGATAAGGGGCACGTGCTTCTCTTGTAGAGCACCTAGGTTTGATTCTCAGCACCCACATGGAGGCTCACAACAGTTGGTAACTCCAGATCCAAGGAATCCATTGCTTCTGCTACACCAGGTATGTACAATGATACATATACATACATGCAGGCAAACACTCATACAGGTAAAGTATAAATACATAAAGTAAAAAAAATTAAAACACAGGTGGTTCATGCCTTTAGTCCCAGCACTTGGGAGGCAGGGGCAGGTGGATCTCTGTGAGTTCCAGGCCAGCCTGGTCTACAGAGCGAGTTCCAGGACAGGCTCCAAAAGCTACAGAGAAACCCTGACTCAAAAAATAAAAATTAAAAAAGAGAGAGAAAAGAGTATCTAGAGCTAAGACCTGAAGATAGAGAGCAGTGGCCAAGAGGAATACAAATGCTGGTAAATGTAATGAAATGGAAGGTCCTGGAGAGAATGCTTCAAGGAACAGTCAGTGTTCCATGCTGTTAGGAAGTTCAGGGTCATAAAGACTTACAAGAGACTGCTCAGTTTTGTTTCTGTTGAGATCATTTTTGTAAGAGTACAAGTTGAGGAAAGAAGGGAAGTGAGGTAAGGAAATGAAGACTTGCGGTGAAGACCAGCTAGCTCCTCAAGGGGGTGGTGCCATATTATTTGTTGAACATTCTGTATGCAATTTCCTCTTGAGATAAAATGGAGATAAAGCTGTCCCTGGTGGAGGGAAGCTCATTAGGGCACAGGATACTCTAAAGGGAGGTGAAACTTTACATCTTGCAAGGAAGCTAGTGGGAACAGAGAATATTCTAAGGACAGGGAAAACATTCCCTCTTACAGAGGGGCATCTTAAGCTCAGAAAGTAAACTACTCGGAAGTCCTGAAACTGATCAGATTCCCTTGGCTTCTCCCTCCCCAAGCATATATAAGCAGTAAGGACTATCAAGTGACACTCTAAAAGCAGAGTTGCCTGGAAGAGTCTCACATCAACTGGATTGCCTGAAAGAAGCAGGGACTCCAAACTGTTGAGTTTCCTGTGAGTTGTGCAGTGCAGCCCATGTTTCCAGCTTTCCTGAGCTGACATCATGCTGGAGGAGGCTTTTAGCAATGCAGTTGTCTTTGAGTCATTTCTGCTCCTGTAAGTAAGCTCAGTAAAACTCATTGCTTCACCAGGTTGGACTTTGGTTTTCTGAAACGAGTAGATGTTTGTTCACAGCTCTTCAGGAATAGTGTCCTACAGCCTGGGCATAGCCTGTGTGCTTAAGGAGTTGTGGCTTAACCCGGAAAATGTAGCCTCCTGATAAGAAAATGCAAATGTTTTCTAGTTTGTCTTTTTTTTTTTTTTTTGGTTTTTCGAGACAGGGTTTCTCTGTGGCTTTGGAGGCTGTTCTGGAACTAGTTCTTGTAGACCAGGCTGGTCTCAAACTCACAGAGATCTACCTGCCTCTGCCTCCCGAGTGCTGGGATTAAAGGCGTACGCCACCAACACCTGGCCCTCTAGTTTGTCTTTTAAGATACAATTGCTGAAGTGAATAAATGAAGCTGGGCTGCTACAAATACCTGCACAGGTAAATTACCATCAGAGATTTACTGATCTGTTGTGGTGGCTGTGAAGTTCAAGATGAAGGCTAAAGACCAGATGTCTTAGGTTTTATTATTTTTTCATTGATGGTATCTTCTGTGTGTCCTCATGTGGCAGAGGAGCAAAGGGGACAAACAAGTAAGGACATTTTGCTATTTAATAGGTAACTGAAGAGCTGGAGAGATGGCTTCATGGTTAAGAGCCCTTGTTTCTCTTACAGAAGAAGCTCTACTCTCATGCCCAGGATACACACAGCCAAAGCCCCTCCTCGTAATACTAATACATCTTGCTACATGTGAACTTAGGAGGTGACATGATTCAGGTGATAGCACAGAGACCTGGAGACTCAGCTTCGATCCCCTTGCTGTAACTGGTGCACTTTGCCCCTCCCTCCAGTCAGTCTTCGAATACTTCGCCTCTCTTGCACACTCTCTCTCCCCTGTCCCAGAGCTGCGAATTGATACCATCTTAGTATGTCCAGTTCATGGCCTTGTCAGTGACCTTTCAAAAAACAATTTCATTTTTTTTCCCCCTCAAACAACGGTTCTAGGACAAGTTGCTCTAGGCTTGCTATGCAGCCCAAGATGACTGAACTTTTTCACCTCTTCCTGATAGTGCTGGGATTACAGATGTGGACCACCATGCCTGGCTTATGTGGTGCTGGAAGTGTAACCCAGGGAATGGTTCATGCTTGGTAAGCTCTCTACTAACCAAGCTGCATCCCCAACGCATTTCACCTTAAATCTTAGATAAGGAGATATTCTCACATCATCATGTAGCTTCCCGTTGTGCTCATTCTCTTTATCGATGCCTTAAAACCACCCTGTTATGCGCCAGCCACTCGTCCCACTTTATCTTTCTGATTCCTTTTCTCCAGTCATATAGCTTGCTTGCTTTTGCAAAGTTCACAGGGAAAGCTGTGCTACCAGTACACCTTGTGTATGTCTGTATGAAGTATCCACTATACCACACCAGGATTGTCACTTTATATGCTACTAAACTTCTAGCTTCTGAAGTCAAAAGAGCATGCTTTTTTATTATTACAGGTTGGTGCAGTGAATAAATGCAGATTCTTTATTGAATGACTGGTACAAAGGAAGCATCACAATCATTTAGTGAGATAAAGATGTTTTGCTAAGTCAGAATAATCATGTAAGTCTAGAGAGATGGCCCAGTGGTTAAGCACATTGATTTTCTTTGGGAGGACCTGAGTGGGTCCCAGCATCCACAAGATGGCTCACAACTGTAACTCCAGTTCCAGGGCATCCAGTGCCCTCTTCCAACCTCCACAGGCACCAGGTGGGCATATGTACATGCAGACAAAACGCACATTAAAAAATGAATAGAGCTAATTTTAAAAATTAAAAGAAGCATAATTATGTAGCTACACTTTAGTATGCTCTTTGTTACTGTAGACACCTCAACTTCAATCTTCAGTGAGTCTGTACAAAAATATTTCCATCTTCTTGAGTATTGTACGTTTTACTTTTAACAGGCATTAATTTTATTGTCCCAGACCAAATAGTTTAATAAATGTCTGCCACTTAAAATTTTACATTGTTAAGTGTCTCCTGTGTTCTGACAAGAATCAATAGTAACTAAATATTAGGACTCATAATCATACTTGTAAATTCAGTCTTACCTAAAACAGTTGGACTTGACAATGTGAATTATGAAGGAACTCCATTTATTGTTTTCACTCTTACCCATTTTTTTTGGCAGGGTTTTGTTGTTGTTTACAGGACTAATAAAAAGTAGAAACAAGCCAGCGTCTAACATCTGGTACATGGATAAACAATGGGGTCCATCCATATGTTAGTGTTTTCTCTAAAGAAGTGGAGCATTCCCTCCTGGAGAGAAAAGAGAAGCATACGAGGCTGCGATGCTAGGGAAGCTCATCAGACTCGAGAGAAAGTTTTCAAGACATCCCCCAAGCTTCCATAAGCAATAAACAGTCGCCAGGGAGAAGACTCCCCTCAGTGGGCTGCCTGTAGGTTGAACAGGGAGCTCCAAAGAAGATGCAGCTTTTGTGAGTTGTTGATTTTTGGTGTTTTAGCTGCTCTTGAGTCACCCCACGCTCCTGAGTAACCCCAGTAAGCTTACTGGTTCACCAAGCTAGACCTGGGTGGAATAGTTTCTTTGGACTGTTGTTAGTGCCCCTGTGGGGTGAGTAAGTGTTTGTTATAGGAAGTCACACAACACCATGCAGGGAGCACTTGGCCATTAGGCAAATGAAGCACTGGTACATACTATAACATAGAACCTAAAACAAGGCAAAAAATATGCTTAGCGAATCCACACACAAAAGGCCACATTAGACGAGTAGTCATCTGAACTATACAGAATAGGCTCTAGCACTGTCTGAACTGTACCACCACCCTTAAAAGAGCAAAAGTTTTAAATTTCGATTAAGTACACTTAACTAATCTTTCAAAACACAATGCTGTGTGTTATACTTAGGAAATCATTGCCAAATCAAAGGCTTCCTTATTTTTAATGATTTTAGTGAACAAAACCCTAGCACCATCCTTTAGAGTTCCCTGGAAGCACATTTTCTTAGTCTCCATACACTGTAACAAGGTATTGCTCATGATTCTGAAGTTCAAGGTCCTGGGCCGAAGCCAGTGTTGATCTTGTCCTGAGGTGGTGTAAGGTATCCCATGGCAAGTGACACAACTCTTACAAAGCCACCAGAAGTTCAATTACAAATGTAATACCCTGATGCACAGTATAGTCCTATCACTTTTCAGAAGCCCCACTTCTACATGGTATTCTAAGACATTTCCACTCTTTTAAATGGAGATTAAATTTGAACACACAAACTTCTGGGTGACACTCTCGCAACCATAGCCTATGTTTGAAAAATATGAGGGGAAAGCATGGTAGTTATGACTTAATAGTACTGGAATCCAAACAGAAAATTAAATGCTAACAATAAATGGGATACCTATATGTTTTTGTTTTTTGAGACAGGGTTTCTCTGTGGCTTTTGGAGGCTGCCCTGGAACTAGCTCTGTAGACCAGGCTGGTCTCGAACTCATAGAGATATACCTGCCTCTGCCTCCCGAGTGCTGGGATTAAGGCGTGTGTCACTGCCGCCCGGCGGGATACCTATGTATACATCAACATGCTCAATTGTAGTTTTCAATTTTTTGAGAGATGGTCTTGATACACATACACACACACACATACACACACACACACACACACACACACACACACACACACACATCCATCCTTGGCTCACCTAGAACCTAGTATGTTAATTAGGCTGACATTGCATTTGCAGCAATCTTTCTGCTTATGCCTCCTAAATGCTAAGATTATAGGTTTATACAACCACACCTAGCCTCACTAGTTAAATTAAGTCGACTGTGCCTGATACTTGAAAGTTACCTCCATAAAATTAAAAAGATATAGTTGATTACCTCAATAAAAAGTATAAAAAGAATCACACTTTAAATTCTTCCAATTAAATAATAAATGTTTTTATTTCTCTGACAACTTTTAAAATGTGAACATTCTGTGATTTAGCCACAGAATTTATTTACTTCCAAGTAACTTCTTCATTGGGCCTCAGTTCCCTGTGTGAAAAGAAATAAGGAAAGGAAAAACAGTAAATCAACTTAAAAAACACTCAACTTTTACTTTATGTGTGGGTGTGGGTGTGCGCCTTACAGTATATACATTCACCATGTGTATGCAGGTGTCCTAGCATACCAGGAGAGGGCAGTGGATCCCCTGGACCTGGAGTTGGGCAGTTGTGAGCCACCAATCATGTGGATGCCAGGAACTAAATTGGGTCCTCTTTAAAAGTAGCAAATGCTTTTAACCACTGAGCCATCTCTCCAGCCCCCATATAAAAACATTTTTTTGTATAAGAGGGCCAGAAGTTTATATTTGTTTAATTCTATCAAACTGACATATTTAGGTTTTACATTAGACTCATAGACATTCATTCAGTTCTCCCATCAACTTTTACTCTTTCCCAGCTTAAAGAACAGTAATTTCTTGATTTATGACACTTTGTTCTTCTGAGAGTACTTGTTTCTGAATACTTTGCAGCTCATTTCATCTTTCTTGAAATACCAGACTTGTAAACCAAACCTGCATAGTGACGCTGGATGCTACTCATAGTCTATTTGAGCTTCCAAAATCCAGATAGCTATATCCACTGGCAGGTAGCTACACTATCTGGTCTTGTTAGGCATGCCGTGGATCCAGGCAGCTCTGGGCGTTACCACTCAGTCACCGTGTGTAAAGCTCTCATGCAGTGATGCTAAGAACAAAGCATTACCGTTTCCTTCAGCTATTTTATGGCTTAAGACATGTGTTCTACAGCAACATATGTGAAAGCATAAATGGTAAGTCTTGGGCAGCTGACTTAAGTTTTGTTTTTACACTAAAATACACTCTTAATAGAAGTGGGAACTACGAGGGGAGGCCTCAAGGGAAAGGGCAACAATAAAGGGTAATGGAAATTAGAAAAGACAAAATATTGCATGTTTCCTGTCATGCAAAGTCTAGATTTAAAATACATGTGACGTGAAAAACAGAAGGTAGCCCATTTGGGAGAGGAAGGGAACCAGTGAGGGGACAAGAAGAACAAATGCATGCATAATGGGGGTGCTGGAAAATGGCTCACTGGTTATGAATACTTGTTGCTCTCACAGGATATCCACACTGGGAGGCTCACAAGTACCTGTAACTTCAGCTCCAGGGAACCCGATGCCTTCTTCTGGCCTCTAACAACACCCACACAATATGTGACAAACACATAAATACAAACCATTTTTTAAAAAGTCACTATGAAAAAGAGTAATAAAAAACAGGAAACTTTCGAAGATCTGAGATGGCTAGATAATAAACTACAGATTATTTATATTCCAGAGGTAATCATACAATTTCATCTAAAGAGTAAATAACAAGCATGAAGTGTCCATCACTTGATTATAAATCATCACAGTAGAAAAATACACCTCTTTGTTCATTGATTGAAAAAAGAGCCCAAACTCCCTAAAGGCTTGTGAACTAACCTTCGAAATAGCATACTCTTATTCCGGAAGGTAGTCAGCTTTTCGTCAGCCCTCTTGTCTAGATAGTATCCAAAGGCAAATCCCATAGGGACAAGTATATGAACCCAGTGGTCACGTACAAGCTGAAGCAAGGTCATAATGGCTGCTAAAATGGGGAGAAAATGAAATATGAAATACAATGCCTTTGAGGTACTGAAATAAAAGGTGGCTGGGGATTCCTAGGGACTAGGAGCACTATACCTTAGCAAGGGGATGAGGGTGGAAGGAGGATATAATCGATACACGCTATATGAATAGGGATTCCATTAGTATGTACAATTGGTGTTAATAAATCATTACGCTTTGGTTTGGAGGGTTTTTATTTTTTTGAGACAGGCTTGATCTTGCTACAGTTATACTCTGGAACCCACTATATAGACTAGGCTGACTTGGAGCCTGCCACAGATGTTCCTGACTCTGCCTTCCTGGTGCTGAGATGACAGGTGTAAGCTACACACTTGGGTTAACACAAATCATCTTTTAAATTGCATCTGAAATAGGAAGATAGCTATAGGCATGGCATATTAAAAGCATAAGCCTCTTCAGGTTTGCCTGGCATCAGAATGCAGTTAAAACCTAGATTAGCCGGTAATGGTTAATACAAGATTCACTGTACTTGGACAGTGTGATGGCTCTTTGAGCAAAAGCACATACTACCAAGCCTGACTGAGATTGATCCCCAGAACCCACATACATGGTTGAGGGAGAGAACCACTTCCACAGGTTGTATTCTGACCTTGGGGCATGTGTGCACATACACACAAACTCAACAAAAACTGTACTGTATCACACTATTTACAAAATCTTATTTACCTCATCTGTGATTTGATATGCTGTAGAGCCAAGAAATGGAGAATTTAAAAATTTTACCTGCAAAATGAGTACCTGCACTCTTTGTGTTGCCTTTGAACTCACATATGTGAGATATTGTAGATACTCAAAATGCAAACTTAATATTTTACTATTTTGTTTTGTTGTTTTTCTGAGACAGTGTTTTTCTGTGTAACCCTGGCTATCCTGGAACTTGATCTATACACCAGACTGGCCTAAAACTCACAGGGATTCACCTGCCTTGAGTGCTGGGATTAAAGATGTCCACCACTACCACCCAGCTAGGATTTTTGAGGAAAGAGAAATTTATTGAAAACTATTTTTTGAAGGATAAAAAAAAATTGAAAAGAACATGTCTCAAGCTCAGAAAATTAAATGACTATAAAACATAAAAGAACTAGAGAGATGGCTTATCGGCACTGGCTACTCTTCCAGAGGACCCAGGTTCAAATCCCATCACCCCAGTTTTGGGGGACCTGACACCCATAGCAAAACACCAATGCACATTTTAAAAAAAGATAATTTTAAGGCACCGGGCGCTGGTGGCTCATGCTTTTAATCCCAGCACTCGGGAGGCAGAGGCAAGTGGCTCTCTGTAAGTTCAAAGCCAGCCTGGTCTACAGAGCAAGTTCCAGGACAGGCTCCAAAGCAATACAGAGAAACCTTGTCTCGAAAAACCTAAAAAAGTAAATAAAAAATATAAAGAAAATTTTGCAGAATGGTACTAGAGCCTAGGCTATCATATTTCTATATACAATGTGGAGTAACTCTTATCCTCATTTTCTGCAGTATGAAAGTGGCTTAACTCGGGCTGGAGAAATGGCTCAATGGTGAAGGTGCTTGCAGATGTTGCCAGGCACACATGCATGCTCACAACCACCCATAATCCCAGTTCCAGGGGGATCCGGTGAGCTCTTCTTATTCCCAAGGACACCAGGCTCAAACATGGTGTATACACATACATGTAGGCAAAACATGAAAATAAAAACACACTAAAAAACCAACAGCGTAATTCAAGTGGCTATTAATTACAAGCTGTCGTTCAAATTTGGGTCCACTCCAAACTGTGCCTTCTGTAGCATAGCACACTATTTATTTCTTATGTCTACATTCTGCTTCCATGTATATCTGCACACCAGAAGAGGGCACCAGATCTCATAAAGGATGGTTGTGAGCCACCATGTTGTTGCTGGGAACTGAACTCAGGACCTCTGGAAGAGCAGCTGGTGCTCTTAACTTCTGAGCCATCTCTCCAGCCCATCTAAGGGCTTTTTTTGTGTGTGTTTTGTGGTTTTTTTTTTTTTTTTTTTTTTTTTTTTTTC